AAGACTTATTATCATCCTAAAAAGCCATACAGGAAGGTATTACAGGGACCTTTTGTGGTGCACTTAATTCGGCAACAAGAGATGACATTTTGCATCTGGGGGATCATATTGATCGTCGGTTGAGACAGCGTGCATCAAAACCAGCGAACCAACAGGAGCTTGAACAGACTCTCTTGGACTTATGGAACCGGATTCCTGCTGACGGCATACGCCAATTGATGACGTCAATGAGACGTGTTGGTATGTATAGTAGCCCAGGGCGGTCACTCTCTCTATTGATGACGTGTCCCCTGACTCCTGTCTCATAATATGATTCTTTATGCACTTTTTGATTGAACACTGATTTGTGTAATTTTTAATTTTGACCCCTTGACTTCCAGCAAATGCAAGACTACCATAACAATGGATTTTCAGTCAAATTGCTGGAAAATGATTTCCGTTTGTAAAATAATTGTGCACCCAAATGAACTTAACATGGAATGCTCATGAACTGAAGTCCCAAGGATCATTCATATCAAGACAATGTTTGTTGAAACATATTCATCTTTCCATATTGTAAGTGGTACATACATTATATTCGATAAGTGCATACTACATCAGGATGTATACAACCTAATCGTCATTCTCCTCAACATCAATTTCACATAGAGCTATTGATTTCCCATTATAGCCATAGGTACCCCATTTGCCACTGTGAAACATCCTGACATAAACACTTCCATTTTTCAGTGCTTCGGGTGTCCAGTTGACGTAAGGTCCGGGGGAATGTCCATTTGTCCAGTGCCATTCACCATCGGTGTCACGCTCAAGGCCGATCCATACAGTTTTGTCTGCAGATATGAAAACAGTTGATATCTTCATTTGTTGTGTTAGACCCGTACTGTAAGGTGCATAAATTCTGCACCACAGGGGTGGGGAAGAAATAGGGGAGTTAAAGGGTAAGGGGGTGGAACTAGGAGACCCTCAGATAAAACATCACTTTACAGGTTATGACATGAAGGCATGAGCTGACGTTCATGATCATTAACTTCTGTTTACACCACTGCCTATGTCTTCCCTCGGCCTGCATTACTTTTCAGTTCTGTTAAGACTTCTGGCCAATAGCCAATGTAGTTGTTTTCCTGGGTGGGCAATATCCTGCTGCGTTTTAGAAAATGTAGAAAGCGATCTCGAACGGTGTAGTCCGGGAGCGTCTGCTATTAATGGCGAGGGGTGTTTACCCATGATTGATGCCCAACACTATTACAGCGAAACCTGGTGATGACGTTGGGTAAAGCAAACACACTTCTGTAGAGATGTTTTCTTTCTGAACCTCAGATGACGTCTACTCTAAGCTCTGAATGCTGACGTGCAGGTATACTTGGGCGGGTTGGCCGGAGCCACTCAACCGGATGTTTACGATTCTGCCACTAATTTGTCTTAACCCTGAGCTGTTGATGTGGAAGTTTGGTAACGATTACGTATATGCACTACACGAAAATGGTTATCCTGTTCACGTGATAAATGGCAATAAATTAGTGTTGCCCTGCAGTCTACCTTGAGAGGATATTATGTTTCAATTGATGTTGAATTGTTCAGGCAACTTGGTTTTGAACCACTCATGTTTGTAGCATACGGACATTTTTTCCTTTCCATGTTGGCATTATATTGTGATACACTTGGGGAAACTCTTCTGAGATTCAAAACTGCAATGTTTAATATTGCCAATTTCGACGAGGGGCAGAAAGAGATGGATGAAGAAAGTGGGGGACAAGAATGAAGGAAAGATAAGTGTAATTCTGTGTGTGTCCCTGTCATATTACATCAGGTGGTATCACGAGTTGTGCTTACCCCTTGCAACAATGGAGGCTTGTTCGTTTTCCTCCTTAGATCTAATGAAGGCGAGATGTCCCGAGTTCCCCATACACAGTGTCTTAGCGTCAGGAAATCTCATGATCGGAGATGAATGACGCCTGAGACACTGGTTTGTGAATCGACAGTAGATGTAGCTGGCAGGACAAGCCCCTGGAAGAAGAGAGTTGGCTTTCACTGACGTTTATGTTGGTGAAACCCCTCGTGGTTTGGAAATATTTTTCGGTGTTTCAAGCCTTTTTTAATTAAATTACATAACAACTAGCGTTTCAGACGTAAAGGACACACAATGTTGGGAATCGAATGTTACTTTTAGTGAATGGCTGGGTGAGGGCAGTAGGGTATATGTTGAGAAGCGTCGAAAATCTATTTAACAAAGATTCATATCGTGGGTCAGTCATTTACATGTGAGACTGGGAGGCCTTGGTGATATTTTTCACATGATACTTTACAGTTTTGTAAATTGTTTGATGTCTTACAAAAGGCATGGTGAACCGAAACTGAAAGTGCTGTTCATGAAATTCCTAACCTAATAACGAGGATTAAATCTGAACTGAAAATTGCTACATCATCCACCAAAACATTTTCTTTCTGAAGTGTCAGTCTTACTACTTCAGCAGTTGGTGAGGTGAAGAAGCAACGTTATGGAAGCAGAGAGGACAAACGACGTACTTAAACCATACTTGTACACTGGTTGAAACAAGCACATGCCATCCCCAATCACAGGGGATTTGACATGTTACATATGTTCCTATAACTTTCAATATCGGATCAAGTCGATCCTCAGACATCAAAAGCATGTCAAGAGTCAAGAGAGAAATGAAGTAAAGTGGACAATAATTTTCTAAAATAATCAATATTATCAAGATCAAGCAAAAAATGTGTAGCTTGGCTTCAAATTCTTGTGAAGAGGGTTTTGATGATTTTGCTTCAACAGAAAAGGCCAACAAATATGAATTACATGAATGTGATCTTAGAAGGTAAAACACTTACCGTTCAGCAGAGAAAAGTACTGAACATCACTTCGATTCTGGAGCTGCTCCCTGGCAACGTACACATACTTCGCCAAGTAACACTCCTGAGTGTTGACGTCATAGAAGAATGAGGAGCAGTTTGCATTGTTCACACAGGCTACTGCACATTCTGATTTGAGGGTGGCCCCAGAGAGGAACGGACCCAGAGTGTTTGTGATGTACCCAGTGAAGAGCAATGAGAACGTGAGCATGCTGACTGCGTCTGTGGCAACGATCCACAGCCTTATATACCGATACCCTAAGTCATAAATTACGTCAGGCAGCTTGCTATTGACTTCATTTGTTTATCCATTAACTTGATAGATGTTGTTTTCGTTGAGCGTCTATCCAACGTCCGATTTATGATGTTTGCATTTTGAGAGTAAATGTTTTTACTATTCAAAATTTAAAAAAAGATTTATTCAATGAAGTATACTTATCATGTGTTAATATAAAGAAATTTAGGCGATCACTAGCAAGATTCCGATGTTCATCTCACGATTTGTTGATTGAAAGCGGCAGATATAAAAATGTTAAAAGAGAAGAGAGAATATGTACACTTTGTCGTTTAAATGAAATTGAAGATGAATATCACTTTCTCCTCATCTGTCCATCATATAATTCAATACGTTGTAAATACATTAAAAGATATTACTATATCCATCCAAGCATCATAAAATTCTCTACCCTTATAAGCAGTAAAAATCAAAATATATTACAAAATCTTGCCATGTTCATCCACACTGCAATGTTGTATAGAACAAAAGTTTTATCACTGTAATGTAAATATATTTATTTATGTAATTCCCCATTATATATGTATATGTACTAAAGGCCTGTGGCCTCTTCAGTACGAAATAAAGATTGATTGATTGATTGATTGATGACCAGATGTTTGCAATTCTTTCATTTAGATAACATCAGGCGAAATGAAAGCAGATCAAGTCTGAATTGATCAAGTGTTCAGTGTTTTTGTTCTTCATGTGAAATATCCGGGCTATTTCATAATAACAACCAACCATATCTATTTTCACTGATACCCTATGAGCTAGGGTTGATATGAGACATTCCGTTTAGGCCAGCTTCATTGGCTTTCCGGTGAAAAATCAAGACACACTATGCTAAAGCGATGACGTTTTATATCAACTTGAACTGGGTCGATCCATCTGTTAGTGATTTCAGTTTCATCATCAAAATCTTCATCATTTTTTCATTTATATACTCTGACTCACCGCAAAACCTTTTTTAATTCTATATTCTTACGAAATCTGAATTCTGCGATTCTATTGCGTGAGAATGTGCCTGTAAACCACTTTTATATAACAATGTGATCTCACAAAGGTGAAGTTATTCCTGTCTAACCGGTGGCAGTCAGCACAAATCTTTGCAAAGCAAGTTAATTGTCCACATGAGAATAACCTGGAGCCTAAAACTTGGAACTGTCCATCACAAGTTTTAAGAAAGCGAATGTGAATCACTTTAACATAACGATGTTATGGGCCCTTTACATAGCACATGTTCTTTCCAGACTGTTTTGTGCCATGCCTGATTTGTCTGTTTCGTTCTAGAATATTCCAGACATTCCATATCACTGTCATGACTGCATTCTGAAGAAGTACAATTATAACTCAATGTAAGGAAAACACAACGTCATGAAATTCTACGGAATCTTAACAGAAATACGTGAGTACATTTGTTACATTTTTTTAACAATAATTACACTGACACAATTATAAACAGAGTGAGTGTAGGGAACTGTTTGGCAAATGCCCCCCACCCCCCACCCCCCCTCGTAAAAATAGCGAAAAGCTACAAGAAAATAATGATCGTTTGTTAAACAACATTTTTATTCGGGTGTCCAAAATTATGAGACAAATTATCAGGGCTGGTCTGTCGATTTCATGTAATTGCAAAATCTAATTTTGTTGCAATTATTAGAGTTTGTGTTAGTTCATCGGTCTCAAATGAAATCAAACGGAGTGTAGAGATTGTTTGATTCGGGTAACGTCTGTTGACGAACTGGGGCTGGTGTTTAGTTTCCTGTCTTTGCAAGGGATTTATAACATTTGGGTTTGTTTTATTGCTGATTTACAGCCATGAAATAGTGGTGCTCTGGTAATAACCACAGGCTACGGGTTGTGAGGTCAATATCTTTTATTCCGTCGTGGAAGAAGTTGTAGGAGTAGACACTCTGTAACAATCATAATTATACAATGTATATGTTTATGCTAAAAACCACATCCGATGAACATATGCTCTCATATATATATATATAGGTATAAACATCTCATAAATGCATGTCTTCATATGTACACATCGGAATAACAAAGACTTAAGTAAACAGTGTATCTGTCTTACATAATCTAACACATAATCCAGGTTATGAAATATGGCATATACTATTTTTACTATTACAAGTGACATTTCATGTGACATATCATGAAACAGACTATAAAACAGACAATGAAACCTACCCTGTGGGTGACACGGGAGTGTGCTCAAGCACCCAGCAGCCGGGCAGCCAACACGTGCAATAATCCTACATAAAATAGGATACACTGATGAGAGGTATTGTCCATGAGACAACACAGAAAATAATACCATTATACCAACATATATACATACTTGAAACTACCACTATGGAGTTACAAACAAGATACAGAATTGATGAAATAGATCAATCTTACATCATATACAGCATTTGTAAAACAAGAACTACAAGCAAACATAAACATATAGCATACAATGTAAATATTTACATTTGATTTATCTTGAACATATTTGTGCCTATGTTATACAATTATTTATATTAGGGTTTAATTAGCTGTGTATATATTACAAACAGTATAATTACTAACCTTAGATCAAAACTCAATCTTTAGAACAGTCCTCATGTAGAGACAGTGTGGTGCAAAACTGATTAGTAACATGGCGGTGAGAAGTATATTTGAACTTACACCAATCAACTGAGAAGCTGAGCCTGGGCTATTGTTAAAACAACTAAAGACAATGACATAAAAGTAGATCGACCCAGATACCCTTAAATACACAATGAACCAGCCCTGTAACACAGAGCTGAACAGTTAAGGCCAAGACAAGATGCGACTGGATTGACAACATATAATATATCTATACTGTATAGAGAAGTCGTCTGTCGGATCACCTGAAATAAGAATAAAATGAAAATGATTAATTATAAATGTATGTACACAATATACAATCCCTGGATTTATCCCTGTTACAGTATGTACATACGTGTGTATGTAATAGCTATTGAGAGCTTAGAAATTTTAAAAAAAAGATATAACAATACTAAAGTCTAAATGAGAACATTTCGTTTTGTGTTATCTGAAGGCGGTGATTGTATTCAACGCTACAAGTGGGCAATGAGTGTCTGTGAAATAGATGTGAGACATTCCTCGTTTGTGTTCGAGATCTAACTGTATATAAGTTGAAGTAACATAGGTTATTTATTAAATATGATTCAGATAAGCTACAGTTTACATCAGATACATCACATTATCCTGACAAATACTAATGCAACACCTTTTTCGAAACGCTATGGTCCTTTCAGTCAAACAACATAGAAACCTATTGTGGACAGCATTGAACCTCGTAAGACTGAATGTTCTTCTCTGCTGCTTACCAGCTCTTATGTTTTATAGAATAACCGACTTGTTTTTTAGACCTAGCAAGTAATTTTCACTTTTTTCATTGGCATTCTAGAAGTTGAGGAAATTAAGAATGAGGACATTTTTATGGATATACAACTTCTTTATTCTGTATAGGCGACGTTGTCAAGCAAGTGGTACATGATAAGTCATTTGGGTTATTGTACACATGAGATGTTTATATAATATAAGAGGTTGATAAAACAGCCTCTTCCATTGTATAAACAACTCATTTTACCCTGATCCCTCATGTATTGCATAAACATTTCCTGTATATATTCACCCAAATGACTTCTCGTGTACCACTTGCTTGACAACGACATTAGAATCTATGTTGAAATAAAGGAGTTATATATCCATACAAATTGTCCATATTCCTCAAGTAATTTTACCATTACATCATAACTGGAGTAGATGTCTCTTTGCAACATTGATGACTTTATTCAGGACAAATACAGATACGATATTTAAATGTGTAAGGTGCATGTTACCCTGCCGAGAAAGCAATTGTGCATCCAAATGAACTCAAGGAGGAATGCTCATGAATTGTTTTTCCTTGGATTATCCGGCCAGATGAAAGGCATTATTCACATCGAGACGTTGTTTAAAGAAACAAATTCACCTCCCATATAGTAAGTAGTTCAAACATTATATTCAAGAAGTTTATACTACTTTATGCATATATCCTAACACCTAAGAGCATGGTCCTTTGCTTCAACACCAACCTCACATAGAGCTATTAATATACCATTGGCGCCATAGGCACCCCATTTGCCAAGAGGAAACATCCTGCCATAAATCTGTTCATCGTCAAGCTTTGTTGGATTCCAGTTGATGTAGGATCCAAGGGAATGTCCATTGATCCAGCGCCATTCATCATCGTTGTCACATCGCTCAAGGCCGACCCATACAGTATTGTCTGTAGATATAAAAACAGTTGTTCTCTCGATTTTGATGTAAGTACTGGGAAGCACAAGGGCAAGTACATAAAGCAACACCATGGGAACTCGACCTAAATCGAGTGACACAGACAGAGACAGACAACAAAAGAGAGAGAGGAAGGCTTTCTGTAGATACGCATTTTGAAACCTAATCAATTAAGGAAAGAGAACGGGATGTGTGTTTCCACTCAGTTCGCCTTTTGGAGATATGTGTGCTGAAGAAGATGAAACTTGTCTCAGAGTCCTTTGTCTATCGACATGTACACGCACCTTAAACACTCTTCTTGAATCCCTTGGCTTCATTTAATATAAATAATATCTTTGCACAGCAATCCAGGTTAGAGAACCCACGGAATAATTCTTCAGGTTTAATAATCCTATTCAAGTGAGTGAGTGAGTTTAGTTTTACGCCGCACTCAGAAATATTCCAGCTATATGGTGGCGGTCTGTAAATAATCGAGTCTGGACCAGACAATCCAGTAATCAACAGCATGAGCAGCGATCTGCGCAATTGGGAACCGATGACATGTGTCAACCAAGTCAGCGAGCCTGACCACCCGATCCCGTTCGTCGCCTCTTACGACAAGCATAGTCGCCTTTTGTGGTAAGCATGGGTTGCTACAACAGACCTATTCTACCCTGGATCTTCACGGGTCAATCCTATTAAAAACAATTCAGTGGAATGTTCACAATATTCGTGTTTGACGCGGGATTACTTTGTGAAATGCTTTCTATGCACGACTTTATAAAAGTGAATATATATAGAGGTTCTGGAAAACCATTCTGTGGGATCGAGCTGTTTAAACCGATGCCCATATCTACCTTCGGCATACACTGCTTTCGAGTATTGTACAAAATACACAACATTGGATGAGAGGAAATATAATCCTTACAAACATGTTCGCAGGGACGGCAATTTGGTCCTGACAGCTAATTTATGTGTTTATCATCGCTAACTCTCTCGGAAACTAGACTGAGATTTGGAATTCTAATGTTATATTGGCCCATTTGGATGGGAGGTGGATGGAGAGAGGGAGAGAGAGAGAGAGAGTGTGTGTGTGTGTGGGGGGACTCTCTCTCTCTGTGTGTGTGTGTGTGTGTGTGTGTGTGTGTGTGTGTGTGTGTGTGTGTGTGTGTGTGTGGAGGGGGGTAATGGAAGAAAAGAAGGAGGGGTGAGTGTGATGCCTTAGGTGTGTCCCTATGAGTCTCGTATGCATATAGCTTCAGATGGTATCATGAATTGCACTTACTCTTCGCAACAATAGAAGCTTGTTCGTTCTCTTCCTCAGATCTAATGAAGGCGAGGTGTCCGGAGTTCTCCATGCACAGTGTCTTGGCGGCTGGAAATTTCATCTTAGGTGATGAATGCAGCCTGAGACACTGGTTTGTGAATCGACAGTAGATGTAGCTGGCAGGACAAGCCGCTGGAAGAAGACAGTTGGATTTGACTGACTGTTATGTTGGTGAAACCCCTCGTGGTTTGGAAATACTTTTGTGTTTCATTAGTTTTAGTAGTCCTCTTTTTCTCAGAATCTAGACATTTAATGAGGATATATATCGTTGGTCTTCCATTCACATAAGTGCCGCGAGATATGTTACAGTTCTGTGAATTTAATCCAGGTTTCAGATTTCATCCCTCTTGCAGAAAGTTCACGAAATTCATAATCGAACGACCAGGATTAAATTTGTACTCGAAATTGCTGCATAACCTACCAAACGTTATTTTGTTGGAGAGATATTGTTTTCATATTTTCCAGAATTGCATAATATGTTTTCATTTTCAGTGACAATGGATATATTTATTTAATTCAGTGTAGTGAATATCAGGTAATGGTTCGACCATTGGATCTCTCAATGATTTCGAAAGTCACATTATTGCTTGTATATTTTACTGGCATGACCATATTTAAATTCGAAACTCTTGTATACATCATTAATATTTTAGATTTTTAGACTTAGCAGTTTCTTAGGGGAAAGGATGAAGATGTATATTTTCCTAAAGGTGAGGTGAGGTGAAATTGGGTTTAACGTCGCGCTTGTTGAGAATATTTCGCTCATATGACGACGTGCATGCGTGTGTATGTGTATGTGCGGTTGCTTGTACTAGCCCAGACTTAAGCTGGTTTTATAGTGCTAGCTCATTGAGATACCATGCCGCAAAGATGATGATGATGATGATGAAGCATGAATACACCACTCAGACACAGTATACTGACTCCGAGCCGACCAGTCCTTGTTGTACCCATTAATGCCGAGCGCCAGGCAGGGACCAACAAGTACCAGATTTAACGTCTTTTGGTATGACGCGGTCGGGGATCGAACCCGCGACCTTCCGCTCTCTGGGCGGACGTCCTAACCACTACACCACGGTGGCGGTCTTTTCCTAAAGAGTCAGTCTTACTCCTTCATCATTTGAGAAGTTCAGAAGGTGAAGAGGTTAACGCACGTAAGGAGGACAGATCACGCACTTAAACAACACTGTTATCACAGTCTGGCCTATACATCTTTTGGTTTACATTCGATATAGTGTATTATATGCTACCACAGGTGAAATATTTATGGGAACTTCATAAATATTATTCAAAGAGAGTAAGCAGATTGTATAATATCCTTTCAAAATTATCAATGTATTTTCAGTTCAAGAGAAATACCTTTCAAGGAGTTTTAGACGTTGTTGTCAAGGCCAACAATTATGCACAAAAAGACTATGATCTCAGAAAGTAGATCACTTACTGTTTAGCAGAGAATAGTATTGAATACCATTCTGATGATGGAGCTGGGCCATAGCAACATACACATACTTCTCCAGGTAACATTCCTGAGTGTTGACGTCATAGAAGAATGAGGAGCAATTTGCGTTGTTCACACAGGCTACTGCACATTCTGGTTTGAGGGTGGCCCCAGACAGAAATGGACCCACAGTGTCTGAAAGGTACCCGGTGAAGAGCAAGGAGAATGTCAACATGGTGGTTTCCTGAGTAGCAACGACTCGGCGTCCTTATATACCGATACCCAAATTTAAAAATTACGCTAGACAGCTTGGTATTGACCCTGTTTGTTTATCCATTAACTAGATAGTTATTGCTTTCGTTAAGCACCCTTCTAACTGCCTATTTCGACTTTTGCATCTTGTTTTGAAAGATAGCATTATCAAATGTAAAATCGGATAATGTGTTTGTCAAGAGTTCTGTATTTGTGTCTTGTTACTCATGACAACATGCCAACCTTCATGTTTTCGCTTTTTAAATGCAATTAACAATATGATTTTTCAGCAATAACTACTTAGCTTGGGTTGACAGAACATGCCTAGAATATTTTGACCTATGCTGGATTAATGACTTTCTGGCGGAAAATCAAGATATAGCCTCAAAGGCAAAAGTTAGTGTGACTGACTTGAAGTTAGATTTGTGAATTAACAACTGATATTTTCATAATGGGACGTTTTTATTATGCAAAAAATCATTCCACAATTGGATTGCAAAATGGCACATATTACACTTTATTGGGGGACCGGGGTGTGTGTGTGTGTGTGTGTGTGTGTCTGTGTGTGTGTGTGTGTCCCCTAGACGTGTTAACACTTCATTTTCACAAGAGTTCCAATGGTCATTTAATACACTTTCAA